ACTTGTAAGGCCAGTAAAGTGCTTCATTAGTTGTGAATCTTTTCCAATAACTTCATATGAAAGGTTGCTGACAATTCTAGAGTTGGTATTCTTCATAGACATCTTAAGCTCGTTCTTTAGAATCATGGTTTCAATCTTTGATGCTAGCTCTACCTTACTGCAAAGTGTCTGAGTACTTTTATCATTAGCCATTTTAACCACTTCTATTCCCTCATGGATATCATTGTGCAATTGATTTTCTTCCTTTTCAATTGAATCTTCGTGAAGCTCAAGTTTAGCTTTCTTTACATCAATCAGCTCTATCCTCTGTTTTGGCAGCTTTCTCTTTCGGCGTAACTGCTCATAAATGTTCTTCACTGATAAATTGGCCTTTAGAGAATCTGGAAATTCCTTTGTCAGCCCCATTTCACCTGGCCAGTGTAAGGCACAAATGTAAGTGTCTCTAGTGATGTTTTTCGCAGTGAAATGTTCACAAGAGCAGGCATTAATCCATCGTTGACAATGTTCAATGCTTGGCGATAGTTTTGGGAATGGTATGAATATTTTTTTTTCCAGTCTTTGCCATTTCTTTAAGTGATTTTGGTAGCTTTTCGGGAAATCTCGAATCACTTGAACATTTCCCCTAGCAGCAATGTTTTGTGCTGACCATTTTTAACTGGAATTATTTAGATTACTTGTCTCATTTGGTCCTCTTTGCATTCTGCCATCTTAGATGTTTGTCTGAGTCTTGCGGGGGGTCTTTAATTTACATATCTATTTTTAGAACTGACATGCAGCGCTATTGGCTGATAAATCAATTTATCAACCAACACTTTAATGTCGTGGTATGTACTTTTGAGGATTAATTAAGAGTCATTTATGGTTAGAGTCCTCTGCTTACCTCCCAAATATTCAGCAAACTGTTTGTTTTTGAGACCTTTGTCACTTGAAAAAAATGGTCATTCTGTTTATTATTTAGACATGTATTTTCCACGTCCAAGGGTACCATCACTGGTATATAGTTCATTAAATACAAAATATGATTGAGAACTATTAAAAATGAAGAAGAAGAAACTGACGGGAGACAGTTCTGAAAAAAAAAGGGAAAGAATGAGCATTAAAATGTGATGAGTTCTCAGTCCTAAAAATATGTAAATGACCTTGAATGATTTTCATTATCTATTTTGTCGTAGCAACCAGTACAGAGGACTCTTAGAACATTATTGTCAAGGGCCAGACCATCTATTTTTATACTATTTTATTCTCTATTTTATATTCTCTATACTATTTTATTCCTATTTTAACTGGAAGGAAAAATAGAGCCACTATTTCAAACCTATTTTAAGGCATGATTGAACAAGGTGATGTATTTTATTTCTATTTTCTCAAAACGAGCAGAAAAATAACCAGCTAAACAGACTATTTTAATCCTATTTTCATTTCCTATATAAGTTAAATAGTGATAAAATAGGCCGTTTTATTTATATTTTCTGCTGATAGGACATGCTATGGCCATTTTCTCTGGAAAATATGGAAAAAATCGGCTATCACAATCCTATTTTATCAAAGAAAATGTTGAATAATTGCTAACTAGGTTTAAAATAGACTGTTTTATCGCTATTTTTTGAGGTGGATTGCAAAATAGGTATCAAATAGTCTATCTTAGTTCTATTTTCTTTAAAATATCCTACAATATTTTAAACAGCAATTAGATGTGTAGAGTAATAACCTGTTCTATTTTATTCCTATTTTATTAATGAATTCAAGCTTGACTAACAATGTATTGTTGTTCTTTATTACAAAATATAATTTTAAGGCAGCTGCTATTCCATACACTGGAATTCAAAAGTCACAGTTACTGTGTTAACGAGCTAAAGATGGGTTCAAAATTGAAAACGTCAGGCTGGCGTTTCTGATCTGCGTTGTTGTAGCTTTCAAGTTTCTGTTTAAGTTTCTTTCTTTGTCAAAGAGTTGAAAGAGAAGGCTTGCCTTTAGCATCAAATCTCCACTTTTTATTGCCTGGATCGTCACTTGGGTCATGTTTAACTGAGACTGATCAAAAAATCGATCAGCACAGCAACCAAGCTTGCTCAGAGTGGGTTTTGAGTCTTTGTT